ATCCTATTGGGTTATCAGAAAAGTCATGACGTATTTTCCTATGCAAAAATTTGTCATGACTTTTCCAAATACCCAATATATTCATATTCTTCCCATGTCCTCTCTTGTTCTCCTTCTAATCCATGTTCCTCAGACTTAAAAAATAATCAGATCATGCATCTTTTTGCCAAAACCTTGTTATCTTTTATTAAACTTTACACCATCCATAAACTTCTCACATGCCCTCAGCACTAGATTCTGAGCCCTGCTTCCTTTTCTAACTTCAAGTACCACTTTGCCTCTTCTCTGGGATTCCTACCACACTGCCCTCTTCCCAGTACCTTAAATCACCTCTTCAGTGCCCTCTACCAGAATTCTTTTTTTTTTTTTTTTGGAGAGATTTTTGTTATAGGGTGCCTGTGCTCACCAGAGAGACAGAGAGACAGAAAGCGAGAAATCACCCCTCAAGGGGGATGGCCATGCCACAATCCCTTCTCCTCCATTCTCCTCTCGGGATCTTGGGCATGCATGCACTCGCGCCCGGCAGGGACTCCAACCGCGGTCGACTACATGGGAGTCCAGCAACATAGCCATTACGCTAACTGCTGGTCTCTCTACCAGAATTCTGATCCATCCCTCCTGCTCTTCTCACACTGACTTATTATTCAGACTTCAGCTTTATCTGGCCAGGTTCTTAGTTACAAATGATAGAATCCATTTTGGTTGAGAGAGGGGCTTTATTAAGCTCACAGAATCTCCAGAAGGGCCAGAGGCCAAATGTACACGCAACAGGACCTAAATGCACTAGAGGCCCTGGTGAAAATCCATCGCTGCTGCCATTACTTCCAAACTGCCACATACACGAACACTGGTGGGCACCACCAGGTAGCCACAGTTAGACGCCTTTCCTTCTCCCTCCTGCTTATTTTCAAGCTGAACTTTTGCAGGGCTGTGCTTGTTTGCTGGAGCCTAAGTCACAATGCTGCAAAGGGGGTCAAGGTAGCAAGTTTTCTCACGAGAAATTCCTTAGAACTTACAAGACTGTTCAAAAGTGCTGGGCATTCAGAAAACATGTCATATGGACATGTAAATATTGTGTTACCAGGGCCAGCAGGTGGCACAGTGGTTGAGGCACAGGACTTCCCACATGGTTTACCGCAGTTCGAGTCCAGGACCTGGCAGCTTGCTTTCTCACTTTCCCTCTCTCTCTTTTTCTGGTGAGTGAATGTGCAAAAATAATGATAATAAATAAAAGAAATAATTTTTAAAAAAATTGTGTTACCTTTGCATAAAAGCCTTTCCTGACAACTTCGTATACATTTTCCCCACCTGAGTCCCATATTCTTTCATTATACCCTTTATTATTTTCTTCAAGACACTTACCACAATTTGTATTATTATGTACTTATTTGTTCAGATGTTTTATAGATGCTGGAGCCACAGAATCTAGTCTCCATGTGGAGTTTCAATTAAGAGTAGTTCAAGTAGTGAAAAATAATTTCAAAATGTACTTTAGTGTTTAACATGGGTCTCCTGCAAGGAAAAAGCAGCAAAGAGGCTCCAACTCACAATTCCCAGCAGTTCCATTGTTTCATTATTTCCTTTTTTCTTTAATTCTCCCCATTCCGTCACTGGATCTCCACAGCTTTTCTCCAGAAACCTTGCCCCTTGGGCTCTCCCTTCTAATGTTTTTCCCGACTGCTCTTGTTCTGTATCAGACATCCAGAACCAGTCTGAGAGAGACATTTTCTCAGGGCACAGGGAAGAGAAGTTGAGAGGCAAAAATCTTCATCAGAGGAGGCTAGGCATTTTACCACTGATCATTTTTCTCTACCACTGTGATTGACCTACAGATTATAAATCTGAGGAAGACAGGGACAGTATCTGTTCTACTGCAACTAACACCGACTCTTACAAATGCATAGTCAATTAGCATTTGTTTTCTGGGAAAAAGATAAACCCAGCAATTGAGGTCTGGTAAAGCATGTTACAGCAAGGGTGCAAGGTCAGTGAAGGGTGGGAGTGGGTGACAGGGTAAGGGCTGGCTGGTGAAAGCAATCCTGAGGTGAGGCCAGAGCAGAATCCTGAAAGGAAAAGAACTCACCAGGCAATGGAGGTGAGGGTAGAGAAGAGTATTCCAGGCAAGACCATAGCACAGACTCGGAGGAATGTCAGCCATCTTGGTGTCATAGTGCTACATGCTAAGCAGGAGCAGTCAGGAGGGGAGGTTGGAGGGGCAGAGGTAGGCATGGAGGTCTGGCATCCATGCCCATGGGGCTGGCCTTTATTGTGGTTGATGGTGCCACTTTCCACATGGGGAGGGAGGAGTCAGACTCAGATTTCCATATGAGAGATCACCAGGTGACTGTGTAGAGGCTGGATCTAAAAGAGGCAAAACTAAAAATAACAGGTGTTGAGTAAAAATGTAGGTTTGAAACAGGACAATACGCAATAGGGGTAAATAGTAGGAACAATTTAAAGCAAGTATTTGGATGTCAAATTGGGTGACTAGATGGGGAAGATCTAGAAATGGTGTCCATACTCTGGCTTGGATGATGACATCCTTAACTGAGGAGAAAAAGTAACAGGCTGGCAGTGGTGGGAGAGTGAGAAGACATTCAGTTCAGTTATGATGAAGAGGGCTTTAAAGATTAGAGGTTCAG